CAAACACAATTGATACTACATCTTTTTTCTCATAATTGGCTGCTAAATACACTCTAATCAAACCTCGTGCATCATTCAGCCACAATCATGTTCATGACTATAAAATGACTAATCATCCTTTGGGCAAGGATTAAATATTTTATGGTCAATAAATTCGATATACCCATTATAAAGAAGATATATATTATGCCATCACATAATGATGAGAAGTTGAAATCTATTTAGTTTCATGTCACTTTCTAATTTAACCCTTTTGTTGGATCACATACACGAAAGCACATTTGTGTGGGCGCAAGCGCACACGTATGCATGCAAACAACTCTCACGCGCATGCACAAACATACATACATACCACACAATTCTTATTTATTTATATTTCTAGCACTTTAATTTTGATATTTATATAAATAACACAAAAGCTTTTGTTAAATTTACATACCTAGCACACAATTCTTTTGTTTTTACATATGTCGCGCCTAAACCTTCGCATTTATATACATAGCACTTTGATGCTTTAAATGTAAGCATAAAATTTGTAGTGTTATTTTAATGTGATGTTCAAGATTTGAGTGCTATGTTTGTAAATATGAAAGTATATATGTGAGATATGTAAATACATAAGAATTGTGTGCTATATATATAAATGCCCTGAGATTTTAACATTAGTCTAATAATCATTTTGTTTGGGAGTGTCACAAATCATATTTGCCAAACCTAATTGACCCAACCCATTACCCTTCTTATCACTCAAAAAGCATGAGCCGAATGCCCCCATCTTGCAAATCACCTATATAGCTCTTGCTGTCTCTGCCCTCCATTGATTGAGCTTCGAACAGTTCCGCATAGGGCTATGAATTTAGCTCGAAGATCGTTAATCACTCGAAAATTTATTCGAATTTTGGTTCTGGTCGAGATCAAATCAAAATAAACAAGCCGAGCTACGAGCCAATAATTGAAAACAAATTTTTTTCGAGCCGAACCCAGCTCGACTCGAAATGGCATCGCTAACAACCCTAGTGATGTTAAGGCTTTAGCGAATTTAGCTTGAAGATCGTTAATCGGTCAAAAATTGATTCAAATTTTGGCTCAAATTATGATCTTATTTAAATAAACGAGTCTGAGTCACGAGCAAAAAATTTAGATCCAATTTTTTTTAGCTGATTTTGAACCAATCAGATTGTTCCTTTCTTCTGATCAGCGCTCGCCAATTAAGCGAACCACCTGCTTACTTTCCCTCTATGTTGTTTCGCCTTCACTCGGGATATGATAATCGAGAGCTAAGGCATCGTGAAGCTTCTCCCAACAGCCGCCAACCTTTCCTCCACAACAATCTAGGGTGTCTCTTTGCTCTATTTCGCTTTCCTAACTTCCTCAACTATCTACCTTGACTATTGTTGCACACACATATTAACACTCCCAAAATTTTTCTTTGTTCGTAATGAAGCTGTGGATCGCATAAACTATCTACCTTGACTATTGTTGCACACACATATTAAATATTATATTGTAGAGATAAATGAGTACTAAATCATATGGATATATATAAATCTACCTAATGTTATGACAGATGGATTTTAGCATAAAAATGCATTATTGTAGCCACTCATACTCCTTATCATAAGCATAATTGCGATTCAAATTGTTTGTTCATAAAATATTATTTACTATTGTTATGTTATAGTAATATCGATCATTATATGATATTAATTATCATGTCAATACATATAAAGTAAATAATTCTTTTTTTGTTGTCTATGTTATATGTCGCAATCCATTTATACTAAAATAAATGGTGATTATTTCTTGTTTGAATCATCAAACTCTTTCGTGATGATTTTCTTAGAGGAAATACTTCGTTGTTAAATGGACCATCTTTACACTTATTTTGGATATTCTCTTTATAGGTATCCATTATTATAATTCTTCTAAATTTGAATAATTTGCCTTTACAATTATGTCTTTCAATTTTTTTCATTAAATGTTATTAATATCTTTTTATTAGACTGTGGTTAAAGGTTTTATTAACTTGATAAATTATTATTTTCATTTCGCTGCGATAACAACAACAAGAAACCTTTAACCCACAACATGAATATTTTTTCTTTATTGCGTCCTATTGAGTGTCATATTTTAATTTAATTATAACAACTTAAGATCATTTTTATACAATGTGTCCAAGTCTTTCTAGGTCTGCCTCTATCTTTCTTAACATAAGTCGAATCTAAAACATTTACTCTCCTAATCGGATTATCAGATGATTGACGTTTAATGTGACCAAGTCATCTAAGACGACTCTCTCTAACATTGTCTGTCACTGGAGCTACACCAACCCTATCACAGATATATTCATTTCGCATTTTGTCTCTAAGTGTAAAGCACTCATCCGCCTAAGCATTCTCATCTGAGCAACACTTAACTCATTTTTATGATTCTCTTTTAAAGGCCAACATTCAGCGCCATAGAGCATTGCAGGTATCACCACCATCTTATAAAATTTTCCTTTTGGTCTAAGCGGTATTTTTCTATCATAAAATAGGCCTGAAGCATTCATCCACTTCAACCAACCAACTTGAATTCTACTAATAACATCCCCATCTATATCACCATCACTTTAAACAATACACCCGAGATATCTAAAACGTTCACACCTTTTAATAATTTGATCACCCATGGTTACAACTTGGTCATTAGAGCTACTACAACTAAAATTACATTCCATGTATTTAGTTTTAGTTTTACTCAAACGAAGCCCTTTAGACTCCCATGTAGACCTCCATAATTCAAGTTTTTTCTGAGCATTTTCTTTAGTATTATCCACGAGAATGATATCATCAACGAAAAGCATACGACAAGGTACATCCTCCTGTAAATGTCCAATATGAGCATCCATGACTAAAGCAAAAAGATATGACATAAAGTCGATCCCAGATGTAATCCAACAATTGGAAATTGGAAATATTTGGTCAATCCTCCTTCTGTTTGAACAGAATAGGAAAATAATTGGCTAGTATACATATTTTTAATGACTTGAATATAGGTCATATCAACATCTTTTTTCTCTAAAACTCTCCAAAGAATATCTCTTGAAACCTTATCGTAAGTTTTTTCTAAATCAATAAAAATCATATGTAGATATATGTAGATCATCTTTATTCTCTTTATTCTCTCTGAACTTCTCCATCAAAGCTCTCAATAAATGTATAGCTTCAATAATAGACCTGACCGACATAAATCCAAATTGATTATGAGAAATTTTTGTAATATGTCTTAACCTATGTTTAATTATCATCTCCCATAATTTTAGAGTATGACATATCAACTTATAATTTGCACACTCTCGTGCATCCCCTTTATTCTTAAAGATGGGAACAACACTCTTCCTCCACTCCTCAGACATCTTTTTATTTTTTAAAATAATATTAAAGAGTTTAGTAAGCCAAGAAACTCTCAAATCACATATATATTTCCACCAGGTCCTACAAACTTTTAACCCTTAGTTTTCTTTAAAGCCTACTCAACTTTTTTTTTATTAATACGACCGTAAAAATGAAACATTTTATTATTATTAATGATATTAAGATTACTAAGATTGATATTAAGATTAGATTACTAAGATCAATCATATTTTCAGAAACTTCATTAAAAAACTTATCATAATAACACACCCACCTATGTTGAATATCTTTTTCTAAGAAAATCACTTTTTGATTTTCATTTCTAATACACTTTACTTGAGTTAAATATTTAATTTCATTTTCTCTTTATTTGGCTAACTTATACATATATTTTTTACCTTCTTTAGTGCCTAATTTATTATAAAGTTCACTAAAAGAAGAATTTTTAGCGTCATGGATTGTTCTCTTAAACTCCCTACGAACCATTTTTTATTTTCTCAATTCTGTAAACTTTACATTTAAACCAATTTTTATAACATAACTTCTTATATTTTACCTTTTCTTGCATATTATTATTCCAACACCATCTATTTTTATTTATAGAAATATTTTTCTTTTGATCCTCCAAGTACATCTTTTGTCACTTGTTTAATAGTATTTATTATTTTATCCCACATAAATTTTGCTTCTTCATGAACATCTCAAATCTTGAAATCTTGGAGTTTACTCATAAAAATAATTTTATTTATCTTTTAGATACATCAATCTAATTCTACGACAATAATTCCTAATATTTTTTATTTTACAACTCTTCATCTTTGAATCCAGAACTAATAATCGATGTTGAACACTTAAATCCTCACCTGAAATAAACTTACAATCTTGGGAGTTAACATATCTTTGTCAGAATGTGGCAGGGAGTTATAACATAACTTGGAATGACCTCGCAATCTTGAAATGGCCTTTCAAAATAAGAATTTTTTATATTCGTTTATCACTTTCCCTTTTGCCTGAAAGTGGCAGTGTCCTCAATATGTTCATCCCGGATTGGAAAGAAATAAGCTATTCATTCAATAGTTTTTTTCAAGTGTTTTATCTTTCTAAAAATCCACATGGTTTGATATTGCATTTAAACGCGCTATCAGAACTCAATTAATTACAAAAAAAAAAATTATAATTTTGTTCATGCTACTATCATGATTTATTTCCTAAAAAAAACACCAATAATTAAGTATGGGCGAATTTAGAAACTGATGTTCAAGTGAAGTGAATAAAGATTTTTCCTTTCAAAACAAATGCAACAATTCAATAATTTTATGAAGAAAATAAGTATAAAACAATATATTATATATTTCTTCAAGCCTAAACCATAACTTGAACTGCTATATTTTATTTTGCATTTATTTTTCAACCAAGAAGCAGCCAGCAGGAAAACCATTTTGATGCCGGCAACGGGAGTGCAGAATTCAGCAAGAAAATAGAGAGAACATAACAATAGAAATTGGAAACAAAAAACCGAAAATCAGAAAAAAAACAAAGAAGAAGATACAAATGAGATACACTAATCAAGAAAGAAATACAAAATATAAGAAACTAATATATCACCTCCAAAAATGATGAGATATAATTGTCACCACCTGACAACCCTACGGCACAAAAGCTGCCAGTCACATCTTTCTACATCATTCCAAAAGTTCCCTCCTACAGCACAAGAACTATTTATAATCAAACAAAGCACATAAACCCCCCAATAAAAGCAAACATACAAAAATACAATTACTAAACATATTGACCAACAATTTGACTCAAATGACTTGACCACGTTTACTTCAGATCAAGATTAAGACACTCCTAATCATATTTTCTACCTGTAAATTCATTATTTTGAGATTGTAAAATTCCGAATTTTTTTTGGGGTGTAAATTTGGATTTTCATAGATTAGACTTGAAGTTCACCTGTAAATAATTTGATAGAAATGTAGTCAACCTAACAAATTTATTAAACAGGTCAAATATCTCACGCACATTAAAGTGAAAAACACTTGAGCAATGACAGGTTCGCATCAAACAGATCTGATATGAACTCATTTTGTTCAAACTGAAAGTGAGAATTTGAAAAAGATAAAAAAAGGGGGGATTTACATACATAGTACTCAAAACTATTAATATTACGTAACTCACACCCAAACTTCAATATTTATACAATAAGCACCCAGTGTCACGACATTAGACGATCTCGCCGGAAGTGAAAGCAGAGACGGGATTGCGACATAGGATGTGTAACCTCCAGTTTTAGTTACTCGGGGAAGAAGAAATGAACAGCCGGTAGAGGAAATGAGGAAGCCAGAAGAAGATGAAGTGAGGAGTTGGAAAACCGAACAAAGAGGAAGAGGAAGCAAACATAAGGGAGAGGAAACGAGGGGAAATCGGGAAGTTGAATAGGTGAAGTTTGCCTATAATTCATGGTAGATGAATTACCTGTAGAGTCAAGAGAAAAGGACGCTGTGGGAGGAGATATTGAGACGCTCTCATGACGTCGTTGAGCTTTGAGCAGGCAAGACGAGTCGAGCACATGGGGAGAGGAAAGCCAACCATGCCCTAACTTGCAGTGCAGATGATCGCACGAAGAAGGGTGCAAGCTTTTGTATGAAGGAGAGTGAGAATCGGGTTGAGGCATTCGAATCTAGTCAAACCATGGGTTGAGGAAGGATCGCCGTGCTCAAAGAAGAAAAGGAAGGGAATCATGTGTGGGAGATAATGATATTTGCTTTTAAGTATTTCCAATTTTGTATTAGTTATTATATTTTGTTTCCTTTTTGGGTTGTTATTTCTCTACATCCAGTTCAGTTTTGCTTTTAATCAATTCCTTGTTTGTCTTTTAGTTGTATCAGTTGTTAAACTTAATTACGTAAATTTCATGAATCAATCATAATTTTGAAGCAAAATTGAATGTCTCAAAAAAAGTAAAAGCTGAACCAAAATTTTATGAAATTATTTTAAGAACTAGATGGAGCCGTCTCACATGCAAGAAACGTTAGCCATATCATCTTGAGATATTTATCCCATTCGTATGTATAGTTGAGTTGCATAGAGAAATTAAGCTCCAAAGTTCTCTGCTTAAATGTACTTAAAATTTCCACCTATACGTGTTTATACGTATTTATAAATGAATGCACGAACTTATGTTCTCATTTTCTTGCATTTAAAAAAAAAGGTTCATGGTTTTTTCTACAATGATTCCCAGACTACACTGTAAACTCATCACTTGCATTAGAATGGCTGCAAGAGAAAATCTCATCCACAGGTAGGGCTGTCAAAATGGCTCGTTGTTCATGAACAGCTTGTGTTATGCTCGTTCAGAAGCTCATATTCAATTTGTTCGCTATATTAACGAGCCGAACACAAACAAAGATTTGTTCGTTCGTGTTCGATTCGTTTTAGCTCGAATACTACTCATCAATTGTATAGATAAAT